CGGCCTTAATACAAAAGGGTCTGCTATGGCTTGCCAACAACAAAGAACTGGGGATCGCATCGGCTACAGAGCCCAGGAATTAGAACCCCAAGATAAAAAAAATCTAGCGCAACGGCTACGTACACTGAGAGGACCGCGTCGTCTCACCATAACAAAAACTCACAAGTCAAAACACTCCGGCCGCATGACAAAACAAAGGTGCGCATCGCATCGTCCAAATAGACAGAATCGACCATCTCCATCTCAGGAAAATAGGTCCTCGCTACGGCCAAAAGGATAGATGGGAGCTCTTCGACCCCAACAAAATGACAATGAAAGCATGCCAACTTATCCACCAAGGATTCTTCGCACCATCTACAAAGAAGAAAAGCGCATCGCCTCGTCTTCAAAAGCACTTCCACGGAGTGTGCATCGGCCCGCATCAAGGCTATGAGTTTCCAAGCACGCTTCATCTACATCAAATAAGGAAACCGCTTCATCAAAAAATCAAAGCAGGAACTCTTCGGCCATCAAACGCCTTAGACTCCCGCAACGGCCAGCCAGAAAGGAACAGGTACTCCCTCTCGCTTCGGTATTCACCTCAGCTCAGAGAGTGGGGGACTCCTGATAGAGTATATGGGCCTGGACCCCATGGCCCACATACTCAACGGCCCAAAAGACACCAGCGGGACACCCGCATCGCCCAGAGGCACGTAGCGTCCAAGAGAGAAGATATCGCCTGATTTCTATGGACCGCATCGTCCGCGGACCGCATCGTCCATGGACCGCGTCGTCCATGGACCGCATCGTCCGTGGACCGCTTCGTCCGGACTTCGTCCGGGCAGAATGTATTTTCCTATTTTTTGTACTAAGTGTTGTACTCAGCCCATTAGTGGCCTTATTCGCCCAAAGAAGGCATGATTATTGTAATGGGCCTCCTAAGCCCAAGGCTAGGGGCCCAAATCCACATTTTTACCTATAAATAGACCCCAAGGGGCTAATTATAGGGGGTTCCAAATTGAGAAATACAATTACTCACTTTCTCTCTCTAGCTCTCACTTCTCTCTAGAACTAATACTCTATCAAAAATATTTACCAAACATTTACCAAACATAATTAGATTTAAAAAATTTAGACCATATTTAAAAAAGATCATTTAAAGTGAAAATATCAATATTTGTCGGAGGTTGTGTAAGCTATAAGTAGGATGTTTTCTTTTGGACTGAAATTTGCTGGTCTGGTCTGGTCTGGTCTGTTTAAGTCTGGTCTGGTTTGGTCTGGTCTGAACTGGTCTGGTCTGGTCTGGTAAACGTCTGGTCTCTGTGTATTTTATAACTACGGAAGTCTGGTCTGGTCTGGTCTGGTCTGGTCTGTTTAAGTCTGGTCTGGTCTGGTCTGGTCTGGGACTGAAAACAGTCCAAAAGAAAACATATGTACTTCAGTAGTTCAGTCTGAGTAGATGTAAATTACAAGTGCATACAATTGTACGGCCAATCAGATAATAATGGTAATGGATTATACTAAATTTGACAAAACTTGCACAGATCAGGTCATACAAGAAAATTTAAGGCATGATAAAAACATGAGTCTTCGCGGAGGTTGTGTAAGGTCATGGCCCGAGATGACTTGATTTCAACACTTTTGTAGTGCTTATCAAAGATACCCGATTGAGTATCCGACCCAGTCACGTACCTCTCTTGTCCTATAAAAAACATCATTCTCATTCCCATTTGAGATATTCATTAACTCCGATCCTTCTATCAACACCTAGGACATGTTTACTTCACCGGTTATTAAACGGTGCTTATTAAGACCCGTGTTAATAAGCGGCGCATAAAATAAACAATGTTGTAAGACCGTGTTTACTTCAAACGGTTTAAAACACCGCTTAACATTAAAATGTCCAAAATAACCCTATACATATATATACACACAAACATTCATGAACACAAGTATATAATATAATATGTGTACCCATACCCCTAACCCCTTACCCACCCTACCTTACCCCGACCCCACCCACCGCCTACCCCTACCCTACCTACCTGACCCCACCCTACCTACCCGACCCTACCCCTACCCGACCCCACCCTAACCTGTCCCCACCGCAACCCTACCCCCGACCCCATAGGCCCTACCCCCATAGGCCCTTACCACATCGACCCCACCTTACCCTACCTTACCCCAACCCCGCCCCTACCCCTACCCTACCCAACCCACCCCCCACCCTGACCCCACCACCCTAGGTATAGTGGGGTAAGGGGTATAGGGTGGGGTGATTGAGGTCAGGTAGTGGTAGGGTGGGTCGAGTAGGTAGGGTAGGGGTGGGGTTGGGTATGTAGGGTAGTGGTAGGGTGGGGTCAGGTAGGGGTAGGATGGGGTAGGGTTGGGTTGGGTCAGGGTAGGGGTAGGGGTAAGGTGGGGTCGGGTAGGGGTAGGGTAGGTGGGGTAAGGGTAGGGGTGGGGTCGGGGTAAGGGTAGTGTAGGTGGGGCAAGGGTAGGGGTGGGGGTCGGTTAGGTAGGGTAGGGGGTGTCTGGTAATGGGGTAGGGTAGGTAAGGTAGGGTAGGTGGGGTAAGGGTAGGGGTGGGGTCGGGGTAAGGGTAGTGTAGGTGGGGTAAGGGTAGGGTGGGGGTCGGTTAGGTAGGGTAGGGTAGGTGGGGTAAGGGTAGGGTGGGGTGGGGTCGGGGTAGGTGGGGTAAGGGTAGGGGTGGGGTCGGGGTAAAGGTAGTGTAGGTGGGGTAAGGGTAGGGTGGGGGTCGGTTAGGTAGGGTAGGGGGTGGGGTAGGTAGGGTGGGGTAGGGTAGGTGGGGGTGGGGTCGGGGGTAGGATGGGGTAGGTGGGGTAAGGGTAGGGTGGGGTCGGGGTAGGTGGGGTTGGGGTCGAGGTGGGGCAGGGATAGCAGTAGGTTAAGGGCAAGGGGTAAATTCGGAAACTGAAAAAGCGTAAAGTGCCGCTTAATTAATACATGGGGGGTGGTATGCTTAATAAGCGGCACTTTAAGCACTTCTTTCGGTTAGTAAGCAGCTTTTTAAGCAGTGTGCGTGTTTACTTCACCTGTCTTACTAACCTAACTGTGACTTTAGCAGTGAAGTAAACACCTCTCAACACTTTTTTCACGAGGAGTCATGAAACTCGATATGATATTACCGCAGCATAGATATTGAATATTGAATGTTCCATCAAAGCTTTTCTATATAAGAGTACGTTAAAATAGAAAGTTTAGTAATTGGCCTACAAAGGACTAAAATATGCCTAAAAACCACAAATAAGACTTAACTCTAAATCATTCACATGTAGAACTAAACACTAATTTTTTACCCTTAATACCCCTAAGGGTAATAATTCATAATACAATGTTTTAGTTCATAATGAAATCGTAAAAAAGTAATAAAATTCGTAAGAGAATTATAAAAATTAATAAAATATTTATTGAATATAAAATTAAAAAAATTGAAAATTTTTAAAAAACTAAAAAATTAATAAAAACAGTGAAAAAACATTTTAAAAAAAAGTAGGGATGCCTTTCCCACCGCCTCTACCGCCTCCCATCACCACCACCTCCTCCGATCGGTAAAAAAATTCCATTTTGTGTTAAAATATGCCATTTTTTTCTGAAAATGCCAAGAGAATGTCATTGTTACTCTTTGGTAATGCCAAAATTTTCGCTGAAACTACCGTCAATATGGCATTACTAATGCATGGTGACATTTTTTCTGGTGATCGAAGCTAGTGGTGATGGCGGTGTCAGAGGCGACGACAAAGGCCTGTGTATTTTTTTACGTTTTTACTTTCTTATTTTAATTTTTAACTTTTTAATCTATACAGAGTAATTGTTATTTTTCTAATTTTTTATTTTTATTAATTTTATTAAATAATTATTTTAGTCATAAAAGCTATATGGGTAGATTTGTCCAAACACACATGATTAATCCTATTTAGGAAATTTGAAATAATAGTCTTATTTGTGATTTTTAGCTATCTTTTACTCCTATTTAGCAAATCCTCTCATATAATTTTGACTTAAACCCGCCACTACTCTTCAGCTTTCTCTCATGTTCACTCATCTTATTTGTTTGGCCTATTTGTTTTTAGAAAACAAGACTTTTGGTGGTGTCATTATTGCGAGAAATGGTAAATTTAGTCCCTCAATAAATGTCTTGCTATTTGACTTTTATTTAATTGTCACCAATCAAAGTGGTGTACTCGAGTCCCATCATTAGAAGAAAATAATCAAGGATGCTAAGATAGTCGTATAAGGTTCAAAATGAAAAGATGTGCATTTGAGTATAAAGTAATGTATTTTATGAAATTAACCCTTGTTTGTTGATGTCGATCGAGAATTGAGACATACTTGAGACTTGTAACTGCTTTTGAGTCAATAATCAAAAGTTATGATGAAGTGATGAACTTTTGAAAATTAACACTATGTAACAAAGATAGAATTTGAGTATTACCAAACAAAGATAGAACTTGATAATACAATACTAGAGTGTACACCCAATCTATTTGTTGACATGTAGGAGTTTCATACAACACAATATTACTATTACGTGTTAGACTTGCACAAAAACTATTTCAAGTCGAGTTTGGGCCAAGTTTTTACCTAAATTTTTTGCCCAATTGAATGAGCTGGTCAGGCCTAGTATGCAAGAAACATGCTTATAGGCCTAACTACATTCAAATGACAACCCCTATATGTGTATAGAATTTTGACTTCAAAATCAACTGGGGAGTGAGTTAAATAAATTATTGAAAAACAATAATGTGTTTTACATATATAAAGCACAATGTTTCTAAATAATTTATTTAATTGATTTTCTGGTTGAGTTTTAAGTTGAAATTTTGTAAACATTAACTACATGCACTTCATGAAAAACATGCTTGCAATATTTTGGTCCTAAAGTCAAACGGGCTTGGCCGTATAGAATATCTCTTCGGGTGCACTTGACCAGATCAGTTCTTAAATTCAATAGACAAGAAATTTGGATTCCCAGTGACATAGTGAGAGCTTTTCTTAGACTAACATGCTTTTGATTGGATTAATCTCAATCTTATATCATTTCAGTTCATATCAAATCTAAACAGACTAGATCATACTCGTGACATCCTTAATGAAAAATGTGTGGTGTACACAAAATGTAAACACTTTTGTGGACAGACAACTTGTCTGCGGGGACAAACAAGTGTACAAAAAAGTGAACACATTTTGTGTACACACAGCTCCATCCTAAATACTCCGTATATTAATAATTGACCATAGTGGAAGGACAAACGTCTTTCAATAAACCGGAAAAGCCGGAAATGGAATTCTATGAGTGACATATTTTCATCTAGTAAATTGTATGGAGTAAATAAATATAGAAATTGCCGCAAATTAAGGCATGAGCAATTAATTTACACATTCTTCTGTCTCTCCCTGGTCTCCTACCCACGTAAACTGCCACTATAAGTAGGCGACTCTGGTTCTTGAGCTAGCAGCAGCCTACCACTACTATACTCAACATCTTCATTCCTAGCTTCTGCAATTTCATTCCTTTCGTTCCAATTTCCAGAACCCAAATCTTTCTTCATCTCTTTTGAGCTAGTAACAATACAAATATAATTGTGTTGCAAAATCAAAATGTGTGGAGAATCTGTAAAGCTCAGGAGGGATAGCACCATGGACGATCATATATATGATATCATGGCAGAGCTTCAATTCACTTTTTTGAAGTCTTTAATTTGGTCGTCTATAGCGTTATCCATCCTGAGTTTCATGGCTTCTTCGACCCAAGAATACACAGTACAGTACAGTTCTACAAATCCAAGCCATGGCTAGACACAGTGGCGGAGCCAGAGGTTTGTCCAAGGAGGGGCAAACCAAAGACTAAAAATTTTAAAGTGCGTGTCCAAAATACAATAAGAACAACAATAGCGTAATAATTTAACAAAAAATTATAGTTCATTACATACTACTTGATTTACTTCTGCAATCTAGGCAAATCAATCCTACGAGTTTTCATATTTTGAAAATGCTGCATAATAGCTTCATTATCAATTGCTTGAAAAATGTCTCTTTCGATGTAGCATACTAAGCAATCCGTAAGATAGTCATCTCCCATCTTATTGCGAAGATCTGTCTTGATAATATTCATCGCTGAGAAAGCTCTTTCAACTGTGGCTGTTGCAACTGGTAACACTAGAGCCAACTCAATAAGACGATAGACCAAGTGAAAAGATTTGTGAATTGTAAGCTCAACCATCTTCTTAGACACTTCACCAATGCTTTGTAAAGTGGAAAATGCTTCATTTCCTCTCATCTCATATATCCAAACTTGGAGTTGTTCTTTAAGCTCCATTTGCTCAACAGCTGAAAAATCAGATGAATACAACTCCATGATCGTTTACATATCTCACAACAACTGCCATTTGTTCTTTCACAGAACTATCACGAGCTTCATCAATCAATAAAGAAAAAAACTTGTCACCAAGATCATTTATTATGGCTTTTGTTGTTTGTGATGCGCAGGCATTAATAATATCTTTTTGAATCATAGGACTAGTAAGTTGGTGATTCAAAGGTGCATTGTCTTTCACCACTTTTGCCACATCGGCATTGCGTGCACTATACCATTCTAGCAATTCCAAGAAATTTCCTCTATTTAATGAGCTCTCTCGCTCATTATGACCACGAAAAGCCAATCCTTGTGCAATTAAAAATCTAGCACAATCCACACTTGCATTCAAACGAGTACGGTATGCCGCACCCAACAGTTGTGTTCCTGAAGAGAGACTTCTTGAAATACTTTGTTTTTGATTTTTGAAAGCAAAAAATTGTGTTCTAGCATCATTGTGCACACTCTCTACAATACCAACATGATCTCTAAATTTTTCAGGAGCTTTCTTCCAATTACGGAATCCGGTCCTCACAAACACATCATCACCAAATCTCTTTCCTTCATGCCCATGAAAAAGGTAACACCAAAAACAGAAAGCGGCATCTTTAGAAATACTATATTCCAACCATTCCCAAGTTTTAAACCACTCTCCTCGAAAGCTCCTTAATGTTTTACCAAATTCAGTTCGTGGAAACTTATGAGATGCTGGTTGACAAGCACCTTTAACAACATATGCTCTCATCACATCATCCCTAATCCCCGGCGCATATTCATTAATTGGTTTTCGTAAAAATGGATCACTAATAATATCCCATTCATGTGTACTTTCTGTTCGGGCTCTCTTGTCCCTCTCATTCCTCTCATCTCTAGCAATATTTTCATTTGACGCAGTGGCATTTTCAACACTAGAGATAGACTGATTAGGAACAATTGAAGAACTAACACCTCCAATCAAAGACCTCTTAGTCTTAATTACAAATTTATCCAAACTCATACTCCTAAATATAACAAAAATAAGTATGAATTAAAAGTGTTCCTTATACAAATAGCACTAAATTGCATCTATAACTGAGATTTGAGGATTCACACAAATAATTTCTGACTTTTCGTTAAGGATGAGAGCACATAATTAATATGGGCATAAATTGGCAGATGAGAAACTTACTTGAAAATTGCAGAATATGAGAACAAATGGGGAGAACTGGAGAAGGAAGGTAGATTTCTGTTGGGGAGTAAAGCTGGAGAGGGAGCGGGCGATGCTGCTTCTCAGTTCTCACGTTCGCTGCCTGTCTGCGTTCTCAACTGCTCGATTCATTTTTTTGGCAGAGTGGGAAGGGACTACCGAGTGCCGACTGCCTAGGTCTTTTGTTAATGAAGCTTTGAATTTTTAACCCACTTAATGGCTTTAGACTTTAGTGATTACGTTTTGAATTGTTATTTTTTTCATTTTTGGGCTTAGGCTTTGGGATTGTCTAGGTGGCTTGGGCTTTAGAATTGTTTTTTTTTTTTCATTTTTCTACTTATACCCGTTTTTTTACTTAGCCTTAGACTAGATAGATGCTCATTTGTCTCATTGACTCATTAATCCCCTTTTATTCTATATTTCATTTTTTTTACTTTTTCTGAAAATACTTTTTTATTTATTTTAGCACTTCATCTTAAAATAACCTTAAGTTGTACTTATTGTTTTTAAAATTAAAAAAGAAGCCGGGGCAAGAAACATATTATAAGTAATACTAGTAAAAAAAATTAGTCGGAGCGGGGGCGCTTGCCCCCCCTTGCCCCCCCCTAGCTCCCCCACTGGCTAGACAGCCTAGACCAATCAAGTAATCATGCATGTATGTTCTACATGTAGAGTTCTACCCATTGTTCTAAAAATCGTTCTAACTCCCGACTAGAGCCCCGTCTAGATGCTATGCGGTGACCGAGCGTCCCGATTTTAATTTAGGCGCTCCGACTAATTGATTTGGCGCCTAGGTGAATTAGTCGGTCGTCTAGGGCACCTAGTTGCCTGCTCGGAGCGCTTAATCGGTTGTCTAGACATCTAGATTCGTCAAACATTTTATTTTGTTTTTTTATTTTAGTATTCTAAGATATATATGTACCTTAACTTGAACCATGCATATGAAAAAAGCTACAAGTTGTAGATTCAGATAAAAGCTATACATGTTTATATAGAATCTTAAGTGTTATTATTATTTAATAATATTTATTACTTAATGAAGTTAAGTGAGTAATTAAAAATAATATATTACTAAATGTGGTAACTCTATATATCATTCATGCATGTTAATGTGTATGTGTGTGCGTATACACACAAACAGAATATTACTAATCATATTTATGCAAAAATATTGACAAAACTATAATTTCAATATCTCTGACTAGTCCCCGCCTAGTAGCCCACCTAGCTGCTTAGGCGCTAGGCGCTGAGCTGACGTCTGACTACCACCTAGCACCTTTTAGAACATTGGTTCTACCATAATACATATGATTGTTGATACTACGGAGAGCTCTTCCTGTCCGGCCAGGCCGGACAGGCCCCTGGTCCGGCCACCTCAATTTGAGGTGGTTTCCGATGATATTTTTTGCCCAGATTTTTTTTGTATGTTCCTCATCAAGTCTAGTTCATCCATACCAAATTTGAGAAAAAAATTCAATCGGGAAGGTCGTCAAATGATTTTTTCAAGTTAACTGTTCCGGAATATACATATAAAATGCAGTTAACTTGCAAAAATCATTTGACGGCCTTCCTGATTGAATGTTTTGCTCAAATTTGGTATGGATGAACTACACTTGATGAGGAACATACACAAAAAATTTGGACAAAATATACCACCGGGAACCACCTCAATTTGAGGTGGCCAGACCAGGGGCCTATATTAACAAATGTCTTTTTTATATGTAGTACTATTTTCGATCACTTGGACTTCTTTCAAATTCAGACCAAATAATATCCTATCACATTTATTAGAGCACTATAGATCACGCAATTCTTGAATGATACTAAAATCACAAATTATATGGTGCAACCGGCGTACCATGCGCATGGTATGCCGGTTGCTAATATGGTACCGTTTTTTGCTTTTCTCATACTTCCAAAAGTCCAAAGCCCGAATTATGGAAGTCTTCTTTCTCCCAGGTAAGTACTTCCTTTCTCTTTATTGTTCTTTTCTATTTTCTTTAATTCTTTTCTCTTTAACATCAAATACTAAAAATTTATTTATGATTTTACTTATCTTTATCTTTAACTAATTAAAATATAAATGAATTTACATTTTTTTCTTTACCAAATTAATACAAAATTTTATTAATCCACATAAAATAAGCGTATTGTAATACATTTTATATTTTATTAATCCACATAAAAAGCATATTTTATTAATCCACATAGTAATTGAATCTATTTTTTTATTCTCTATCAATGCATAACAAAAAGTTTATAAATCTAAATAAAATAAGTATATTCCATCATTCAGCTCCTAGACAATGAAGTCACATCTTCTTCTGCGCAAGTTACATATTAATGTACGCGAGTTACATCTAACTATACGTGAGTTACATCTTAATGTATGCGAGTTACACCACTGAATAAACTCCAGCTATATCATTTTTATTGCCCTAATATTAAAAATAAAACATATTCACTATTTATAAAAAGTAATTAAGCTATTAGGATCAATTTTTCATTGTTTACATTGAAATCAATGTTTATAATAATATCTTAAACATAAAAAAAACATTGTTCAACTTTCCAACAAGTTACATTCTGTATACACCCAAGTTATATTTGGCATCGACGTGAGTTACATTTGTAATAATACGAGTTACATTAAAAAATCAACCCCTGCTACTGAAACAAAAAAAATGATCTTTTCTAAAAATTTATTTTTTATAGCCACGATATTAAAAACAAAACATATTCACGTTTTACCTAAAACAATTGTGTAATTAGACTCTTTTTTTCATTATTTACATTGAAATCAATATTTGACAAGTTACATTTTGGGTGGGCTTGAGTTACATTGATCAATAACGCGAGTTACATATCTTTACAAGCGAGTTACACCATCTATGTTACTGGGACAAAAAAAAGTCATTGTACATGCGTGTACTGTTCACGCGAATTTTTTTTTAATTGTCCAAAACTACATCGTTTTGGGAGTGGGAATACGATGCTCATGGTGGGACGGTTGTATGGTATACAAACTGAAAATCCTAAAATACACACATATCGTAGCTCTCGGGTTCTAATCTCCATGGAAGCCGTTTCAATCTTATTCACTTTAAGCTAGCTAGCTCTCCTAGCCCCCCTCCCCTGGGTAAAAGAGACCCTAACATTTATTAGGCAAAGCATAAACATATTAGACTAAACTTAAATAAGATATTTAAATAGATCAAATTTAAAGATAAAATATCAATTCAACTAAAAAAACATCTTAAGACATCAAATAAAATCATTATTATTGTTAAAAGTATTTGTCGTCCTACACTGAAAAAGTATAAAAACAATAAAAACATTATATAAGGTTTTATGCTACTACACCTATCAGGTTGACCTTTTAGGAAATCCCGAATATTAACAATTTTTTTTCTTACTCGTTCATTAAAAGAGGAAATTTTGAATTAATCACTCCTTTCAATGAGTTTTAAGATATTATGCGTGCACCAGACATGCAGGAAATAAGTTTGTTACTCCGTATGTATATGGATATGGTATTGCTATTTGTATTGATACCAGATCATATATCACACGGAGTATATGAAATTTTTACATACCTCTACTTTTACATGCCTAAAATTAGGTCGCGCATGAGTTTTTTTAGTGTGATTTCAAGATGGCATTAGTTATCTTAATAGGAGTTGGGAAGTGCATGGCGTGTTTAATTATCGATTCTAGTAATAATCAATATCAAAACATTAATTAATTGATCACTTAACAAGCCTACATGATCAATATTAAAATATAATGGGAGATTATATAATTAATATTCAAGAGATCGATAATGATTAAAGGAACAACTCACAACATACAAATCACAAGTTTCAATATAGCAAAACCAAGAACAAAAGACTACTTAAGTTTCAAGGATAAACTCTAGGTGTTGATAGAAGGATCGGAGTTAATGAATATCTCAAATGGGAATGAGAATGATGTTTTTTATAGGACAAGAGAGGTACGTGACTGGGTCGGATAGTCAATCGGGTATCTTTGATAAGCACTACAAAAGTGTTGAAATCAAGTCATCTCTGGCCATGACCTTACACAACCTCCGCGAAGACTCATATTTCTTGAAGTATTGTAATATAAGCCGTATTTCTTACCCAGCTAATAGCTCAGTTATATATACTCCGCATTACATTAATTTTAGCTATATTGTTCTATGTCAAAATTGAAATTGCAAATGGCTCCAATGTTTTTTTGCAAGGAAAAATGGTGCCAATGTTAATCAAATAATGGTAAGGTGGTTAGCTAATTAGCCCAAACACAATTGCTACAATATACTTAGGGTGTATTATTAAGAGTAAATTTCCAAAACGGGACCAAAACATAGGAAAAGTGCCAGAATAGGACTACTACTTTTCCGTATGTTATCGTAGGACCAAAACTAGGTTGGAATGCCAAAAATGCCCTGCAAAGCCTTTCAAGTTCGCAAGCTGCTAACTCTGCGATGAATACCGACTACAACATATCGGTGTTAGTTGGGTGGAGTGAGTGTCGGCGACGATGAATGGCGACCCTGCTACATGAACATGTGAGCTTCATCTTTCTTCTTCTTCTTCTTCTTCTTATGCTCTGTTTTTTCTCTTCTTCCACCTTTCATCCCTTTTCTTCTTCTCATGCTATGTTTTTCTCTTCTTCCACCTTTCATCCCTTTTCTTCTTCTCATGCTCTGTTTTTCTCTTCTTCCACCTTTCATCCCTTTTCTTCTTCTTTTGAAATTACATTTTGTTATAAATTTTGATTATTTTATTTAAACCATTCTTATTATTTTTCTCATGATTTGAGTTTCAAAATGCCATAATAGTTGTTTTATTGAACACTAAGTTGAAAATAATGTCACTATTGTGGCATTACAATATGTATCCTGGCAGTTTTACTTTAAAGGTTAATTACATTTTCAAAGAGTGATAATGACAAATTGATGACATTTTCGGAACAAACATGGCATTTTTGAAGAGGTGAAGAAGGAGGAGCGACTGTCAGGTTTTTAGGTCTGTGAATGCCATCTTCATGACATTTCCTGTCATTTTAAAATGGTGAAGAAGGAGGAGTGTCTGTCAATTTGTTTTGCGTTTGTAAATGCCATCATCATGACATTTGATGTCATTCTTAAGAAGGTGAAGAAGGAGGAGCGACTACCAGGTTTTTTACGCTTGTAAATGTCATC